GTGTGTGTGTGTGTGTTTGCGCGCGCAGTAAACCCAAAAGGATGTGAGTAAGTCTTTTGTGAATGAGATCACATCACCGTGTGCACACACAGACACACACCGTGACAAACACCCATTCTTTATGCTTCACACGCTTCATATCACTCCTTCACTCCATGTCCCCCCACCCAGAGTAATGGAATGATGAACAACACCAGTTCTTTGCCCTCAATTTACTCCCATCAGAAATTAGAGCCCTTGTTATACTGTAATAATCATTGCCGCTGCCTCCGATGAACGCCACCATTATTATACATATTCCAGTCAGGAACAGGACGGGCATGCTCACTCATTACCCCCACAGACAAAATGCAGCGTGATTTATGGCCATGACCAAGGCATTTGATTGCCTCTGCGTCTGCGGTGCCACTATCAGGAAATGAAGCTCACAGCAGAAATCCAATAAGGAGCACACAGTGTGCACTGAAGTTCTCATCATAATCGTGGCTATTTACAGATTGATATAGCTGTACAGAGCCCTGACATATTCTCTGTTCCCAGCCAGATGAATCAGCGTTTATCCTCATATTACCCCCCCACGCCTACATCTAACCCTCCTTCAGCGCTACCTCTCCCTCTGCCCTTATTGTCTGCTTGATATGGACGAGCCAATCACGCCTCCCATTCCGTTTACAACCTCGGAGGATTGGGAAAATGACTCAATCATATGCCTTTTAGAGGCTTGTTTTGTTGCTTATGTTAATTTCCATAATGCCAGCCCGTTTTCACGCCTGTGGCCTTGTGAAAATAAAAGCCCCGGCCCTTTTAATGGGAATGTGAAACAATGTTCTACCCGGGCGGGGAAAGGTACAAATTGTTTCTTCTGTGATAATAACTTCTGTTTGATTGTGATCGCAGATTGTGTTCTTTGGGTTTGGTATTGCAGATACTCCTCAAGCCTGTATGAGACATGGACAGAGACTGTGGGCGAGAGTTCTCAGTACAACCTCAGCCTGCCATTAATCAGCAGAGACCCGGCCACTCGGCTCATCTCAGTCAACTTCAACCCGCAGGTTTTTACATGGCGCCCACATGCTAGGAAAAGTGTTCCAGGACAGGCTGCTAGATGTGTCGCTGCTTGTAATCTTTACCTGTGGACAGGATCTGAGTGATTTATTAGTTTGGTTATATATATTAATTATCTTCCAGTAAGTGTCATACACCTGCCTGCAGCTGCATAAGAGATTATAAATCCTTAAATAAAGTGTATTGTATTTTTGCTGCACATTCATCTTGATAATTAGTTAGGTCAGTATTTCAATTTCTCATTTAAAGTCAGTAATGTTGGGTCACACTGCCCCAAAGAATTGCTAACCTACATGTCATTAATCTGAGTTAGTGGAAAGTTTTCTCTCCCCAACAAACTCTAGTACTGAATATTTGTTGTTTAAATCTTTATTGTGAAACTGGGCTTAAAAGCAAAGATGTTGAATATTGGCACACATTATTGGCAGCCTGTACTGATAAAAACTGAAACTCCACTTTTATGGTCTATGGTTTTAAATGTCTTCCATTGCTTCTAAATTCCCTTTTGACCTCTTCCTAGCTGGCATCCGTGCTGAGGGAAGTGAAGTACTTGGAGGCCAGACAGACCGAGGCCATACCTGAAACTGCAGTGCAGATCTACACCACCAGGGGGCAGCTGTGGCAGTATGTGGCCAACCTGGAGCTCACTGTGGGCCGATACAACAAGGTTGGCTTGGAATAGGATAAAAGCAGTTGAGACTGGGTATTTAAGGATAATTACACTCACTCACCCTAGCTGCCAGAGCCATGAATTGTAAAGTGGCATGCTTGAAAGGGGGACCCTGTGATGAGGGTCATGCATTGACAGTATGTCAAACTAGGCAGTGCTGATCAAATATGAATCAAGCTTCTGTTACTGCGTTGACTATTTTTCACCTAAAATCCTTTCAGAAACATATTTTAGTGTACTGTTTCGCTGTAATGTGAGATTGTGTGTAACTAGGTGAGCCGTCATTGTTTCTTGCTAGCCAAAAGTGTTTTGTGATGTCTGCTGCTTGATTACCTTGCCACTAAATCTTAAATCAAATATATATCTGATCAGTTTTATAATGTAATGTGAAAAGCTAATTATTCCAAATTATATGATCATAAAGTATACACTGCAGGATGATAAACAGGGTTTACCACATGTCCCTCTTTGCTGTAGAGAATTATATTATATTTTCATGATTTCACTGATTGTCTTCTTACAGTAGACAGGCTAGCAAGGTTACTGAAAACTAGCTTACTAATGCCTTGTAGCAGTCCCTCAAAAGTCTCATTTGACATCACAGTATGTATGTCACATAGTATAAGTAAAAAACTACAGGTCAGAATGAAGCTTTAGCTAACCTAGCAGCTATGCTTGCTCCTTTGATGGAGACATCCATGAGCAAATCCAGCTAACTACTGGATGGATTGCCAGGACATTTGGTACGGACTTTAATGTCCCCAGAGGATAATACTAATTATTTTGAGGATAGCCTGATGGACCACAAATTTAGTTACATTTTTAATATCATGATAATTTTCTCTCGCCTTTAGCGCCACCCTCAGGTCATATTTCCAACTTTTTGCTTTGATATCTCAAAACAAACAGCTCAACATTTGCATTTGTATGCAAGATATTTGAAATTGTAATTGCTGGCTTATTACGCAAACCTACTCACCACTCTCAGGATATAGGCCACTAGTGGTAAACACAAGGTAAAACAAGTCTAGTGACTAAATAAAAATGGCTCATTCTAACAAACATAACGATTCTTATATTCAGGTGATTATACAAAATGAAAATATAGTTACATTAATGCCAATAGATCCTCCTATATGTTTCACACTGGACCTTTTTTTAAAAGCCTTGTGGGGCTTCTATCTAATATATCAGATTTATGTATGCTGGGTCACTCAGAGGCTGCTTCTGGGCTGAATGTGGCCTGCAGGCCGCCAGTTGAATAGGCCGGCTCTATAGTAAGCAGGAATTTGAGATTCTGGACACTTATGAATCATCTTCATTTTGCTCATTTGTCTTGGCATCACTATGAGGTTGCCAGGTTTGGCATTATTGTGCATGCACCGTGACCTATACCAAAACCTGTACTCACTGACTGTATCTGGAACCGTGCTGTAGCTGGAGATTCTGAACAGCAGTGTTGGGTGGATACACCATTGTTAGTCAAGAAATAGTGCACAGTAATAACAGGATTGTGCAGATCAAACAAAAGAGATGTTAATTAGTGAGCTTTGGAAGTGTTGGTAAGCTAGGCTGACCTCCTGGCTCCAGCTCCATACACAGACAAGAGATTGATATTGATCTTCTCATCTCAAGCGAATAAGAGTGTTTACCAAAATGCTTAACTGTTCCTTAAATCTAAACTCTGTTATTTTGTGTTCATCTTTGTTGACATTTTGAATGCTAAACTCACAATTAGAGAGCAAGTCCAGCTCTGTGATGTCTTTTCCTCACGCTTGAGTTAAAGTTTGAACGGCTGTCACTGCTCCTGCTACCTATCCAAAATGCTGTTGATGTAGCACTGCGGTATACAATCACTGTGTTCCAGTTCAGCTTAGGAAAGAAAAGCAAATCTAAAAGCTCTTTGAATATCTACTATCATTGCTGTAGATGGTTTGCTGCTGTCTGATACTATAAATATACTACAGAAATGTCGAAATCTTGGCATGGATCAGTTACACTCTACTCAGCTGAACTATAGTGATTGCTGTGCACGCATTAAGCTTATAAACATATTAGAAAATTATGCTAATGAGGATGTGCATTGTCTGTGTGTGTATTCACTTAATGACTTAAATGAAAGTTAGTACATAAAATGTGCTTCTCTTTGCCACGGACACTATCGAACACATAATTCTATTGTTGGTCTTAATGGTAACTGGACAGGGGGGCAAAATGGCAGTTTTAATAACGTAGCATTAAACAATGTCGGAGCAATCAGTGATGTAATTAACTCAGCCTCACAGAGGACAGCTCCCACAAAGCTCAGCCACACGTATCGCAGCGCCCTCAATGAGGTGATTACATATTAAAAATACTCCATTTCATTGCTTCAGGTGGCTAAAAGTTCAAGTCCAATTAAGTCATGGCAACATGGAACGATTCAGAAACAGTGACTTTAATGAGGATGACATCCTGTCTTGATGCTCTGGGCCTCTGTGCACCCTGTCAGTGGCCACACAGAAATTATATTAGAATGATATTTCTGTACACACTTAATGGGAGCTAAAAATCACATCACATCTTCCTATGTCTCTTTCTCGCTCTCTCTCTAACTGTCTGGCTGCAGGTGATGCACTCTGTGCTCGACGTGGAGCAGCCTCTGGTTCAGGGCCAGCTGGGGGACATCGACGCTCAGCTCAAAAAGGTGGAGGAAAGTCTGAACTGGAACAGCCAAGGTCAGGACACTATCTAAAAACTGCCAGATGAGGAATCTTGAGGAATCGCAGATTTAAATGTCTCATTTTCCTTAAAGGGTCTGTTAACCCAAATTACAAAAAAAACTATTTTCACTTACCTCTGTAGTCCCAACTAGGTTTTAAAATATTGGTTTGAGATTTTTACCTCCACAACCAGATTTTAAAACCAGTAAAATGTAGATGAGCCAGACATTTTCATGAGCCTATTTGATTAAAGCCTTTTTTTAGCTTTTGGTAATGCCACATTTTAAAATAATACAAATGAATGTAGTCAACAATAGCAATATACTTGCACTTTAGTGTCCCTTTCATGTGATCCCTCCCCCCTCGTGAGTTTGTCCAGAAAGTATAGTGTTTCTCTATGCAGTGGGCCCGGGCAGGGGTTAAACTGACATCATCAGTTTTATGTTTCAGGGTTGACAAAGACATATTTTTCGTAGAGCACTTGAATCTACTTGTGACTGTCAATAGCCGGATGTTTTGAAAAGCTATTAAGCGTGGTAGGAACTCGCATGATAAAATGTTGATTTGTGAAAGATGATTGGTGGTGTCACTACATCTGCAGTGTGATCAGTATTGCTTATGTGCAGTTCCCTACAGAGATGAGAAGGAAGCAAGATGGCTCACTCGTTAGCTTCTTCTTTACATTCATTTTCTCTTATTTTGTCATATATCAGATTTATGTATGCTGGGTCACTCAGAGGCTGCTTCTGGGCTGAATGTGGCCTGCAGGCCGCCAGTTGAATAGGCCGGGCTCTATAGTAAGCAGGAATTTTTTGAGATTCTGGACACCTTATGATTCATCCTTCATTCTTGCTCATCAATTGTCTTGCAATCCACATGAGGTTGCAGGTTTTGGCATTATTGATTGCTGCACCGTGACCTTATACCAAAACCTGTACTCACTGACTGTATCTGGTAAAGGAGATCTTTATTTGTATGAAAATTCACGGTTTATTATAGAAATATTCCTCCTCTGTGGCGTTCTCTCCATCCCTGTCATTTCTGGGCAGAGCAAGCCGTTATGAGACATGACATGAACAGAAGCTTTGCATTTTGAAAGACATAAAGTAGAGTATGAGAGGTGTTCAATCATTGATAAGCTTGGCTTGACACTCTGCTGGCAGGCATGTTGTTACTTTCTTCGACTCTGGGATTCCCAGAAGAACGTAGCAGAAATGAGAAGAGCGTTTATGGCATAAGCCAGCGTGCTCATCTGTCTGTAGGAATAAACTCACGGTCCCTCTGCAGAACATTCAGCAGTACACTCATGCTTTAATTTTTAGCGTGTGTGTGTGTGCTCAGTCTGGATACTTATGGAAGAAATCATTAGTATGTCGATTAATTTGGGGAATAGATTGGACATTTTCCTCTGTATCTTCTGGCCCGACAGCATTGAGTTTCCATGGGTAGGGAAGAAGCATGGCATTCATTCCATTTTATAGCTGATAACCTGTTCACATGTATAGAAAGCTTGTATCCACCTGCTTCATGTATCAAATACTTTGAGAAGTACATAACTTTTCCCCTCTCTCTTTATTTCATTAATTTTAAACACCAGTTAAAGCTGCAGTAGGTAATTTAAAAAATGTTTAATGTATATATTTGCTGAAACTTTCACTAGTACATGAGACAGACAATCTGTGAAAAAGTCAGGTTCCTCTGGCTCCTCCTATTGTTTCTAATGGCATTTGCAGGAATCCACCGGGCCTGGACGAAAACAACCAATCGTGGCTGAGAAAGATATAATCACACACTCCTATTCTACCTTAATTTTTCCTTAATTTTCTATTTCATGACCTCTCAAACACCCATCGCCATCATCCATTCCCCTCTAGATATTTGGCAGTACATCCAGGAGGTGCGAGACTCTGTCTGTGACCTGGAGAGCCGACTCCAGAGGGCCAAGGACAACGTAGAGGAGATCCAGAGTTGCATGAGGTCCTGGGCCAGCCCCTTGTTTGACAGGAAGGAGGGCAAAAAAGACGCACTGCTCAGCCTGGATGACAGGGCCGAGAGGCTGGAAAGGTTGTACAGCCTGATACAGTCCTCTGGAGAAAAGATCCACTTCCTGCTTAAGGTGGTTAAAAAAGGGTTCCTCATGGTTGTGTAACATGTCAAATTGGCTTTAAGTTTCACTCATTTCATCGCTCTACGAAGTTATTACGTAGTCAGTGGTTCCTGATTTGCTTTGCCCTACAGTCATTTTTTAAATGTGGTAGAGATGATGATTCAGTGTGAGTTGTATGCTCTGTCATGTCTTAGAGCAATCTGGAGCTGTTCAGAGGTGAGCAGGCCTCCGAGGAGTGGAAGGCCTACGTGGAGTACATCGACGACATGATCATCGACGGATTCTTCAACAGTATCGAGTGCTCTCTCAAGTTCTTCCTGGACAACACTGGTAGGATATTAATGAACAAACAATACACAGACAGACAAATCGAATCACATAAACAGGGTTCCCACGGGTCCTGGAATACCTGGAAATTCAGGGCCTAGTTTTTCAGTCGTGGAAATTGATTTTGACCAAATATCCTGGAAATGATCTATGTTGTCGGATTTATTAGAAAAAAAATGTCTTGCCTGTCTTTCCATTTCTGTTGACACTACTTGCAGCCAACTTTTGGTGTCACATCTATTCAGTCCCTCCAGGATTTCACAGGCTTTTTTTGGGATGGTTGCTTTTTATAGATAGTGTTGCTGTTTTTAGCCATTTTTTTGCAATTAAGTTGCGGGTGAAAGTTAAAATTGCAAAAATATTTAAAAGATTTATTATCTGTTAAAAAATTGAAGGCAACTTGTTCCAGTGAGAATAAAATCACACTGTTTGGAGGGTAAATGTGAGATAATCGAGTTATTATGTTTTAAAAGGAGTGGGGACCCTGATAAAGAAACACTCTTACTATCAGTAGTGCTGTAGTCACTGTGCTGTTACTACTGTTGTCTTAAAGCCAGAATGTTGCTGCCAGCCCTGAATGTAATATCCAAAAATTCCGCCCTGCTACCCTGATTCTACAGCGAAACCAAAAACATCATCCTCCAGCCAGCGCTGACTTGGACAGCTTCTTAGCAACACATCCTCAGGGGTTTTGATGTCAATTGGGTGTCCGCCTGTATTGGCTGTGGACATGAAATAGGTCTGGACTCGCTTGCTGGCAGGAGTTTTGTCGAACCAGTTCAGATGGACTGGGATGCGGTTCAAGATGTGGTGGAATGTTTCCAGGCTGCTACTGTGTCCAGTTCTTCTTCTCCTCCTTATTCTACACGTTCTTACGCCTCTACTTGCTTTTTTTCCTTCTTCCTTGGGAGGTTTCAAACAGTCTTTTATGATTAGGAAGGCAGTGAGTGAAGTGACCTGTAAAGCTCTCAGAACACAGCAATGCTCTAGAGGAAGGAATAAACCGTCAGGTCCTTCTCATAGTATTTTGTTTAGGCTGAAAACGACAAGACTATCTTACTATATTTCTATGTTATATTCAGAGATATTTGATTCAGATATCATGGTTTAAGATTTAAAAATGATATAGACTAGTGCTGGGCGACAAAAAATGTAAGATTCTGGCGAATTCAAGATATATTGTTGTTTTTTGCATAACTGGACTTTATATATTTTATAGTTGCTTATTCTACTGTCTTTTGGGCTTATTAATTGCATTTATTATTTGCTATGCCAACAACCTGAACATTGTTACCCTTTTCTAAAACAAAATATTTAAAAATAGATTTTTCAACACTATAAACGGACATAAAAAATATATATATATATAGTAATATATATATATAATATATTATATATATATATATATATATAAGTATTTATTTAA